ATATAAATATACTTTTCATATCAAATTTGCTACTTTTTAATGATCTTCATAATTCAGAGAACCTTTTCAGATGAAGAATGAACAAAATAAGTAATAGGAAAATGAATGTTACAGAATTAATAAAATTATCAAAACTTTAACTACTTTAAAAATGGCAGCTGTACCATTTCATATTTCATTTTAATAAACAGAAATAAAAATGAATCAAAGTTGAGAAAATATAAGCTTGCTCTTCCTGCAGAAATTTCAGCACAAGTCCTATGTGTTATTCTACTCCACTGCTTAGAAAATTCAGTGCTCTGTTAGTACCTATGGAAAGAATGAAACACACATCATATTCTTTATTTAATTGACAGGGATTTTGAAAATTATTCTAATTACTATTTACCCTAAGATCCTTCATTTTTAAAATGGCATATCTGAGTAATTAGCTTATGCAGTATGATTGCATAAGAGACAAAGGACCTCAACACTGCTTTAAAATTTAATTATGAGTTAAAGGAATATCTGTTGAGAATTGTAGGATTTTATTTGTTCATTCATTTATTAAAAATACTTTGAGTATATATTATGTGAGAGTAAAAGACGATATGATTAAAAAAATACTGTAAGGGAAATACTCAAATGGGGCTATAGTATGAGAAAAGGGAGAAAGTTGGTAAAAGAAAACTGAATCAGCCCAGTGTCGTAGTCCATTTTGTGTTACTATAACCAAGCACTGTATACCGGATAGTTATAAGGCATAGAAGTTTATATAGCTCATGATTCCTTTTTTTTTTTTTTTTGGTACCGGGGATCGAACTCGGGTCCTTGAGCTTGCGTAGCAGGCGTTGAAACCACTGAGCTAAGTCCCCTGCCCCATATAGCTCATGATTCTGAAGGCTGAGAAACCATGAGCACGCAACTGGCATCTGATAAGGACCTTTCTTCTGCATCATAACATAGTGGAAGCCGTCACACGAAAAAGCAAAGTAATGATGAATGTAATTATATTGTATACCTAAAATGTACCAATAAAATAAAAATTAAAAAAATAAAGCAAAGTAATCATGCCAGTTCTGGTATTTCTTCCTTACCAGATAAGGCCATTAGTGTTATTATTAGGGATACACCAACATGTCATCTAACCCTAAATACTGCTAGAAGGCTCGATCAAAATACTACTAAATACGAATTTGAGAATTTATTTTCCAACATGTGAAGCTTTGGGGGCCACTTTCAAGGAAAGAAAAACAGTCCCGAAGAAAGAGAAAAGTTTCTGCAAATACAGGGAGGGAAGTCTGAGGCCTCTAAGAAGAGGTAGAAGGAGCCAGGTCATCAAGTCTTTGGGAGCCATGCCAAGGATTATGAGTTATGTTCTGAATTTAAAGGTTTTTCCCTTCAAGGGAAACAGGGTGTCTCATATTCAAATGTGTAGTTTAGAAAATTCACTGGAGAAAACCAGGCTGGAAATATTCAGATTCATTAAGAGATAAAGGCAATAGTTTGGGAACTGACAAGAAAGTGAAGCCCTGTGTTGAACACCGCGACCTTCCTATGTGGTCCTGTCAGTGAGAATAAAGTGAGCATCTGTGGGTAATTTGGGAAAAAAAATGTGTTGAAAAATATTTGGAGTTTTACAAAAATGTATTAAAGCAGACCCTCAAGTGTAGCTTCTTCTTTTTTCCTATTCACATTATGTTACACACTCTTACAAGCAATGAAAATACCTAAAAGGATGGTTGTAGAGAAGTTTTCTTCTTTCTTTTTAAGATGGTGCCACCTAGTGACACTTTTGGAATATCACATCCTGATTGTCTCAAATTTGTATCTTCCATCTGATTCCTCAAAGCTGTCTCATGTGAATAATTGATATTTTCTGCCAGTCATATGGAAAGAACTGCACGTGCATTAAAATATATTGTAGAAGCCGCAAGTGATGTTTTGATGTGAACTCACTGCTGTGGCCACAGGGCTTTTAATAACAGGATCCAGTAGGTGAAATCTTGTGGTTTCTTCAAAGTGCCATTCTTTATAAATAATTGATAGTAAAATAGAAGTATGGCATTTTCTATGCCTTGAGTTTTCTAAGAAGAGTGTATAAAAAATATGAAAAGTTGAGTTTGAAAATTTGCCTCCTCAAGTCATTGCTTTAGTTAGAAATGTATATGAAGAGAAAGAGGATTTCAAATTCAGAAAACTCCAATGTTTTCCCAAATGGAATCCCTATGTTATAAGTGTATCTTAAAATAAAAAACTAACAAATGTGCCCATGCGGCCATTGAACCTAACCATTCATTTGTAAACCCAGCTTTTAATAATCTCTATGTCTTAATAGAGATAAACTATACCTCACAAAATTATATTAGCACAAAGAAATGACTTTAGTCATAGGACATCTATTGCTCTACTTTTGGTAAGAAGCAAAGCACAAATCCAGGTTTCCATCCCAGAAGTAACAACAAAATCAGTTATGTAATAGTGATATAAACTTTTTTGTGTGAAATACTAGATCTAATCATATTTTAATGAGTACAGTTTTTAATTAATTGTAATTTCAAAGCATTAAGTTTTCTTTACGGAAACTAAGGTTATAGAGCAGGAGTGTGTATATATTTTCTGTTATGGACCATGTAGTAAATATTTTAGGTTCTGTTGATCACATACTCTTTTTTTTTTTTTTTTTTTGCTACTGGGGATCGAACTCAGGTCCTTGTGATCACATATTCTTGTGGTAGCTACTTCTGCTGTCACGGTACAAAAACTGCTGTGCATAATATTTAAACAAATGACACTGGAACTTGTTGCGTCACAATATAACTTTATTTATACAAATAGGTCATAAATTGTATCTCTCTGCTCTAGGGAAAATACCTGTTTTAGAAGTGTGGGGTTACTTATTATTAAGAAGTGTTAGAAAAATTCTAAATTTGGTACTGCCAAAATTATTTACATCAAAAACACTACTTCAGGGGCTGGAGATTTAGCTCAGTGGTTCCGCTACCTGCCTTGCAAGCGCAAGGTCCCAAATTCGATCCCTGGTACCAAAGAAACAAAACAAAACCAAAAAACACTTCTTTAGTCAACAGATGTCTTCCTCAGATGTTGCAGATGTTGCAGGGAATCTAAAGTTTGGGACATGTAGTTATTATATGTGCACTTGTTAAACTAATAATAAATGAATCCAGTGGTGAAAAGTTTTTTTTGAAAAGTTTTGCAAAGTTCTATCAGTCGTATTTAAAGGCCAGTGTTGTTAGGGGTCGGGGATTTAGCTCAGTGGTTCCAGTGCCTGCCTCGCAAGCGCAAGATCCAGAGTTCGATCCCCGGTACCCGCCCCCCGCCCCCCGCAAAAAAAAAGACCAGTGTTGTTTATTTTTAAATTCATATTCAAGCCAACATTTGTCTGCATATGGATGGTGCCTGGAACCCCTGAAGTTAGGTTCCAGTACCCACCTGCCCAACCTGCTTGGGGCATTACCAATATTACAGTCCTCTGCAGAAGGAATTACTCTATCTTCTAGGAAAAGTTTAATGCTTTGAGAAACTTAAATGGTTTTGACCCTAAGCAATTAAATTACAAAGTTACAACTTGAGTACAATTTGTATAGTATGTATTCATTGTTTCAGTTGTCTGTGGTGGAATTTAATGAAAACAGAGGCTTTATTTTTTTTCTAAAACAGAATGAATTCTATTAGGAAGACACACAAAATCCTTGAAACTGTACACCAAGTAAATCTCTAAGAATAGTGTTAGACCCTAAGAATCTGTCAGTGCCTGAAGTGAATATATAGAGAGAACAAACACTATGTAATCAAAATTAAATTTAAAATACTCTCAGACATTTGGATTTTTATACCTATCTCTACATTCTTTTTTTTTTTTTTGCCATTGGTAAAGAATATGAAATAGAAAAGTGTTCATGCAGATATATAGTTGAAAAAGTCAAAATTAATTCCAATAGTCTTTCCAGTTAATTGTGGATATGTTTGGGTATTTGCACCATAATTTGACACGTGAGAATTTCTTTGGAGTTGTGGTATAGGATTTAAAACTAAACCACTAAAATTGCTTTACTTTATTAAGTTAAAATTCACTGATTGATCTTGCATTTCGAACAGATCTTTTATCAATGCATGATATGCAACATCAAGCATTTGTCATTTGGAAACACTTGGTTCATAGAATTATGTGTATTTTCCAAATATTGACATATTTAAATATAAAGTGTTTTAAATTAGTTATTGCTACTAAATTTTTCAGAAATATCTCTTTTAATGGAAAACAGTCCCACTCCTAGAAGTAGATACAAGTTTTCTAAAATTTCAGTTTGTTTTGGAAACTAATTTTTATTTTTTTTGAACAAATATTGCGAGTTGATTTCCTTGAAATGATACTTTGTCTATTTTCGGAAGACTATCTGTCAAAACCTAAGTATGACTTTCAGTTATTTATTAGTTTCTCTTTAATGGTTCTCCATGAACTTAAAGTGGCTAGTTCAGTTTGAAACTCAAGTGTTTTCATTTGAGAGTACTTTATTTCAGAAAGTGGTCAAGTGTATGACATGTGTTTCCCACATTAAATATTAAAATATGAGAAATAAGATGATTTTGTTTACTAAAAATTACTGATCCTTTTAAAAACTAACAAGAAGATTCACAAGTGAACACTGCCTACCCCTGACTGTCTTAGGGCAAAAGCAATGACTCCTACTACAGTTTGGGGTCACCATTTTGTTTCCTGCAAAGCTGCCAGCAGTTTTACCAATCACTTCATTTGCACTATCAGTGAAAATGTCAATATAGTGAAGAATGGAAACAATGTCTCATTATTAAAAAATTACTCCTGTGTGCCAGGCTTCAAAAACAATTTGGGAATTAGGGATTATATATCGTGTAGTACTGCATCAAAAGATAAACTATTATTATAGTACAGAAGTTTGGCAAAGAATTTCTTAAAGATATTCGAACTTAACTACTGCTAATCATAAAGTGAATTCAAAACTTGTTATGTTCTTCCCTAGGGTTGTTTTGTTGGCTTTGATCTAGCACATGCAGTTGGAAATGTTGAACTCCACTTACATGACTGGGGAGTTGATTTTGCCTGTTGGTGTTCCTACAAGGTAAAAATGAGCTAATATATTTACATCCTTTTATTTCTCATTGATATTAATCTGAAGGAAAAACAAAAGTGGATCTGTAGGCCAATTTTAAGGATTTGAGTTACTTTCCTCTATTTCATCCATTATTGTATTTTTTAAAATTTTAGTTAATAGTGAAATCATATGATAAATTAATTACACTATTTCTATTATTATAGAGAACTTATTTCTTCAATTGTAGGTCATTATAAAAAAATTAGAAGTTTCTGGAAAAAATGTCTCACACTTAGAACTTAATTCATATTGACTAAGATCCTTAGGTTTTTGGTTGGTAAGCTGTGAAATTTTTGGCATGTATAGCCAAAGTTCTTAAGAAATCAAATTGGTATTGGTGTTTGGAGACAATTTAATTAATATAAAACATGGAAGTAAATCCAATAATAATGTATATATTTTCAAATATGTGTTCAAAATGATTTCAAAATTTTATGACAAATAATTTATATGAATTTTGAATTCAATTAGACCTCAGTGAAATTACTACTTACTAGTTGGGGCAAAATTTAGCCAAAACAATTACAGCCATGTATTTTTCAGCCCAGTAATATTATTTTTCACTTTTTTTTAAAGGAAACAATGGGAGATCCTGCTTTATTATACAAATTTAAATAGTTATATGTTTTGAACTGATCATTAGTTGTAGTTTTAATTTTAAAAAGTTAAATGATTATATTGGGGTTGTTGTTATATATTCAGATAAACTCATACAGTTTAATTTATTTTCAATTCAGTACTTAAATTCAGGGGCAGGAGGTCTTGGTGGTGCCTTTGTACATGAAAAGCATGCCCATACAGTTAAGCCCACGTGAGTACCATTTTCAGATTCTTCTTTAGTGATGAGCAAATTAATGTGCATTCATAATATGTTAAATTTACATAAGTTTCTTAAAATGTTATCCAATAGGATCTGGATTGGATTATAATTCTTTTACTACCCTATTAAGAATGATATGCTTTATAAGAAATAATTGCTTTCTGAAGAGTTCAAATGGTTGAACAAGAAATTCAATCAAAAAATGGAAGCTTCAATGGTAAAAACGAGTCACTGCAATCATGTGTAGCAAATGGTTTAATGCAAAAGGCCACTATATTTTTTTTCAAAAATTAGACTTTAGAAAGTTTCATATTCCGTACCTGATGGATAAATCAAAGACAACCAGAGCTGTGCCTAATAGATCCTTAAATGTGGCATGTTATTATTAAAATTACATCTACCTTTAAAGCTATAAATGTTACATGATTGCTTGTAGGAAATATCTTCTGTCCTAAAAGACTTTATAATCCATGAAATCTGAAGAAGCTGAACACTGAACAGCAGCCTGACTACATAAAAGTAGTACTTTTCTATTTTATATAACTCTTCCAGTTTTAGAGCAAGTACAAATGCAAATATAATACATCAACACATTTATACATTTTTATTTTACTGGGGAACTCACCAATGTTCCTTTCATTTTCATCTGGTGTGAAGAAAAAGAAATAATATTCTAGAAAAAAAGCCTTTTTATAGTTGTTGTATTGCAATGTGTGTGAGGAAAGGACTGTGTGGACTTCCAGTAGATACTATAATAATATTGATTAGTTTTCTGCATCCGAGTGGTATAATCTTCACAGAAATTGGAGCTGAACTAATAATAAATCTTGGAGGATCTCACATTTTTGGAGTTCTGTACATATAAATGTAGGAATTGTGGAGATTTGTATAGCTGATTTAATTATATCTAAATTTTCTCCAAGATTTTAAAATAAAAGAGTAAATTTAACTTAGTAATTTTACTTGGTCAGGCCGAGATCTTCCTTGAATATACTGTAGTCAGGACATTAGATTTCTCTCTATGTGCCAGTTATTCTGAGAAAAATATAAAGCATGTATTATGAGAATACTATGTATATGTTGAAAATATTCTCTTTTATCTTTAACAAATCTCTTTGATGACATCATTCTTCATTTATTTAAAGTGCAATAGAGGATCTAATGTATTAAGTCAACTTCAAGGGCTAACCAGTGATGTTGGTCGGTGTGAAAGCTGCAGATTCTAGAGAAAGGCAGTTTTTGGAGATGAGTTTTGAATTTACAGCAGGTGCATTGCACTTAAGATTTTTCTCACCATGGATGAGAAAAAGGAGAGGTAATGTAACTAGGGTGTTCATGAGCTTCATTTTGAGGAGTCCCAAAATCTAGCCAATGTTTAAATATATATTAAGAAATATCACCAAAGCAGAGTATGTTCAAGTTCCAGCATGGTCTCTTGCTGGCTTGCAATCTCAAGAATATTTCTGATCTCTCAGTATTCTATCCTTTTTATAGAAAGAATATCAACATTTATATCATAGGCAAATTTTTGGATAATGAGATTATGCCTATGTCCACTTAAGCATTTTGTGATCAATACATGTGGGGCTGCATAAATACATATCTAGTGGCAGCATGGTGGTGCACCCCTGTAATCCCAGCACTCTGAGAGACTGAGGCCGGAGCACAAGTTCAGACCCACACTGAACAGATAAAAAAAGGGCTGTGAAGGGCCAGGGATTTAACCCAGTGGTGCCGCCACCTGCCTCACAAGCGCAAGGTCCCGAATTCCATCGCCGGTACCACAAAAATAAAAGGGCTGAGGGTGCCTTGGATTAAATCCCTAGTACCTTAAATACACACATACACACATACATAAATTCCAAAGTTTGAAAAATAAATGGAAATGATGGGTGTAATTTTTAAAAAATGTCATTGAGGTATTCTTTAATAAATATTATTTGATAATTATTTAATACTGAGACCTAAGTACTTTGTTAACTGTGAATTTGCATGTTAACATTTAGACATTTACTAGGTGTAAATAAGAATAACTCCAAGGTTATGGTGACCTTGTAGGACAGTTTTTGTCTATCATCAAGTTTATTTCAATAGACCTTTGACCAACAGGCAGTATACATCTCCATTCCTTAAATTTTCTCTTCTTCTGGGCTTACCATCTTATTGGCTTCCATTTATTAGTGAGTGGCCTAAGATCTTTCTTACGTGTTCATTTTGTCTTCAAATGAGAGCCATACTTTTAATATTTTTTGAAAATATATGTTATTGTCCATTGCATTTTTACTACTCAGCTTTAGAAGTCATTAATGACCAATGAAGGCTGCAATACGGGAAACCCTGGGGTGTTTTATTTCCATTTGTTTGTGTTCTCATACTCTTAAGGCTTCTTTTAAGGTCATGTTGGACTGAATAGTTTCACTGCTGTCACTTTCTATACTTTGTTACCTCTTCGGGGCCAGGTGTCATGTATTGAATTTAATTTGTGTTGGATAATTGGAGATCCTTCACTAGGAATGATATGTACCAGATTTGTGTAAGATAATGATAAGCTATTTGCTTATTGTCACAGATAGAAAAATAAATCCTTTCTCAAAACTTTACCTGTACTCCAAAATGTGTTTTATTTCTTTCTAATTCTACAAATCAAGAATTACTTGCAGGGAGAGTGTTTGCATAAGCAAAAAAAGAAGCTTAAAAAGCAAATATACTACATTGAATAAGACTAATTTTATACATACTATAATGATATTCAATGAGTAAAATTATTTTGACTATAAGGGGAAGAAAATTTTCTTGTGAATAATGTTTGCAATGTGGAGATTATGTACAATTTAACTTCAAATGTTCCAGTTGAAATACTTTTGCCAATTATAAACTTTTATTTCAGTTACTAGGTCTCTCAGATCAACTGTTTAAGCATGCAGTGAATTTTCCATCACCTATACACTTTGAAACTTTCTTAGAATAGTGGAGTGACTAAGAAGGACTTTTTTGTTAAAGAGTTCAGTATTGTAGCTGAGAATCATAAGGAGAACACCAAATATAATGGAATAAATGTAACTGCTGATATAACAGTGAAGCTTCTTGATTGCTTAAAAAAGGGTGACATCTAGTGGCTAAACATCTTATTTGAAAAAATACCATCCAAATAACTTCTTTTCCTAATCCACACACACTTTAACAACTATTTTAAATTATATAACTTAATTATTTACTTTTATTTGTGATCATCTTACTACATATTTACAGTGCAGTAATATTGCAGTCACAGCTTTTCAGAAGGAGGAAGAATAGGATGAAGGTGACACTGAAGGTGACAGGAATTTCGGGTATGTGGTCAAGAGAAGACTCAAAGGTTCCTCGTGGCTAGGGCAGGAGAGACATTGTGGGACTGAGTGGCCCCCTTAGGGCACAGGAGGTCCAAGGCTTGAAGTTTAATATCTGCTATATAATTTTGAAACAGTTTTTGATCTGATGTTTCCATTATCAACTGATGAATTACATTTGTATCAAGAAATTTCACACCTTCCGTTTTTGTTTAAATAGGCACATTGGCGATTGTTCAAAACTGATGACCTAAGACTTTTTCCAAGAGCCCTGCACATAAAGAGAATGAGTAAATTACAAGGCAGAGTCAGTCCGTACATCAAACATCAGAACTCAGGCTTTTACTCTCAACTCATATTTAAAATTTTTCTAGTCCATCCCATCACCTCTGTCACTGAAATGTCATGTTCTAAACCTAGTTTGTAGTTAAAAATTATGGTAAATGAGGACTGGTTATAAATAAATGACTTCTCGGAACTTGTGCCACGACTTTAGGGAAGACTTCAGTTCAGTCTACAACGTTAATTATTGCCATGATGTACACAGTGAATTACTTTTAATTGTACAAATTTGACAGAAATGTATAATTAAGAAAAGTGCTTTGATGACCTTGAATTTGTTTTAACTTCACAAATGTTGACCTCTCTGTTCTGTATTTTGAGTGCAATATTTTAAAGGATTCAAAGATATCTAAATCCAATAAAAAGATTCTTCTCCAAGATCGCATAGGTATACAATGCAATTTAGCATACAGTACTGCCTTTATCCTTTTGTTGTTGTTGTTTTCTTCTTTCTTATTTTAACATAGAGATTCTGCTATGGAAACACAAGTAGGTCATATGAGCTATAATGACTATTTACTCTACACATTAAAATCATACACACCAGAAACCTACTATTCCTCACTTCTGATATTGGAATAACAAACCTCCCTGTACCATGCTATGTTATATCTCTTGAAGTACTCAATTTTCCTTTCGTGCTCTTTGAGCTTCTCTGAGTGGCCAACAAAGAAACCTAATGAAAATTTTGATGAAAATGCTCTAATTTTAAGTCATGCCAACACACATTCACACTCAGTTAGAATTGTTTGATTAGAAATTTTAAATAGAAAAGAAGTATTTTGCAGGCTTTACCAAGGGCGTGAGTCATCTTTATTGTTACAGGTAATTACAGGCTAAAGGAATCAGCTGAAGAGGGTTGCTGACTTCAGTGCGGCATTAGTGCAGGTTAAGTGCAGGCAAATTTCAGATCTTAGAAATGCACACTCCTATTTGGCAACTAAAAAAATACAGATTAAACAATTCTCAGGAAAATCCAAAAATAAAAATGTATACCAAGAATATTTGGATGAAAGATTTAAAAATTATAAGCTTAGGTCCAATTGTGCTATTAAAGTTATTTGGGGAGATCATTTCATGCAAATATATTCTGGAGAATACAGAGTTGGTACATTTCAACTCCATGTACTTGCATTTTTAATAGATTCCATCTATTTTTGATTTTTATATTATAACATGTTTGCGATGCATAATAACTATTTCCATAGTGGATATTTGAACATATACATGACCATTCTTAATTCTTTTTTTTTTCCCTCTCTGCATCTTTGTCTCCTTCCCACTTGCAAAGATCTATTTCCCTGTTTCCTTTTATCTATCTTT